TCCAGGGGGGCTAGGGACTGGATTCCAGGAGGGACCATAGGGGAAGAAACAGGTTTACCATTGGCCTCCAAGGGAAGGAGTCACCGGCCTCAGAGTATAGGAGAGAATATTCAGAGAATGGTGGGCACAGATGTGTACGTGTGTGTGCGTGTGTGTGTGTCTGTGTGATTTAGAAGGCTAGATAAGGTGGTGACCCAGAGAGTAAGGCTGAGTAAGGCAGCAGCTCAGCAAAGGTAGGGAGACTGGTTACATGAAAGAGGACTGAGGGAGAGGGATAAAGTGGTTTTAAATATGAATGAGCAAGGTATAGCAGACAAGGAATTTTTATAACTGTAGTGTGACCTACCCAAAAGACCTTGCCTCTTACAAACTGCTCAGTTATTACTCTTCCAGAAGAAAATCATCATTGAACGGGAACAGATCATTGATACAGAACAACAAATGTAGAAATTAGAACTTTATTATAAACACTTATTATAAATGGACTTTGTATACTCTTTGAAACTTTTAAAACTATATGTAACCTAAGATTATTTTAATGTATTTCATTATTAAATCTATAAAATACAAAGAGCTTCAAAAAACCAAACAAAATATATATCTAGCAGAGGAAAAAAATGTAAATTGATTTGAGAAAACTAATGAATATAAAAATACCACACCCCAAACTAAAACAGACCCAATTAAGAAATAGATTCTACAAAGCCTATTAATCCTCCAATTTAAAATAAATAATTTCCCAAGAGAAAAATATTTCCATCATCATAGCAGTTTGATGAATAAAAGCAAAGCTGCTCTCATTAAGGGAAATTACATTATATGTAAGAAAAATGTAATGAAGTTTCTAGAAAATGAAAAGTAATTTCCATGTTGGAGTTATCAGGCATACTAAATACTTTAAAGATTTATTTATTTGAGAGAGAGAGAGAATGAGAGAAACATCAATTTGTTGTTTCACCTATTTGTGCATTCATTGGTTGCTTCTTGTATGTGCCCTGACCAGGGATTGAAGCTGAAAGCTTGGCTTATGGGGACCACACTCCAACCAACTGAGCTACCCGGCAAGGCCTAAATACTTTCTGTTCACTTGGCCTTTGTTAGAAGTCAAAGTACCTGTTTCCATGAGAAAAGTGCTATGAACATGAACATCATAAAACCAAGCTCCTCAATGATTTTTCAGTTTAACTGCAGGAGAAAAACTCAAGAGCTTCAAAATCCAAGGATAGATTGGTCCCAAAGCATTTCCTCCTCCGTCCTTTCTGTGCCTTGTTCCTTTTTCTCTTTTCTACGCTTACGATCCTCTTTCTTAGAGGCTACATCTCGTCTTTTTCTCTCCTTTTGATTAAGCTTTTCTGTACTGATCCTGACTGTTTCTACCTCTGTGTTGCGTTTCTGGATGCTCTTGTGTTTGTCTAAATCTGTTTCCTCACAACCTTTTTTCCTCTTATGCTCGGGCTGCTGCTCCTCCGATTTTTCTCTGCCTCCCTCTGGGTGCCGTTTTCTCTTCGGGTGTGTCTGTTCATGGCCGGCTGTATGGGCACTGGTACTGGTTTCTGAGAGGTGCCTGTAAACTCTAGATTCGACACTGTATGAGCTATAATTATACTCTTGATGACTAAGGTTCAGGGGTGCTGGTTTTTCTGAGAAACAGTCTCTGGTGAATTGACAGTATCTCATGCTGTCATGAGCTGGTAGCCACTGAGGTAACTGGTTTTCCACTGTTTGTGAAACACTGCATGACCTTGGGTGGGTCTGGATGGTTTCAGTGGGGAGTCTTTGATCAAACCTTCTGTACCTGGGTCTGAAATCAACCTCTTCTTTGTCCCTACAGGTTTCCAAATAGTCCTCTCTCATCTGTCTGAAACAAGTCTTTGGTTCTAAGCCTCTGGCTCTCTGCCCTTGGATATAATCTTCAAGTTCATCTTGAAAAGAGTCATATGTCTTCTTTGAATGCTTCATTAGGTTGACAACAAGGGATTTTCTGTAAAGAAGATAAAAGAAATTTATTTTTATTATTTTATTCTGAATATATCTTTGTTCTTGAAGAGAGCTTCAAAACAAAACAACACAAAACATAGAAGTCCAAACAAATTAAAACCTAATTCAGTATAAAAGTTAAATATCATGACATTCTATGCTAAAAAAGGAACATCCGGATAATCAAATATCTCCTAGGCTACTCACAAGGAACTTGATCTTTCTCAGAAGAGGAATGAGGGGGCAGAAAGGAGCTGACATATAAAATTTTGTTGTTGGGCTAAAAATGTAAGGTATGTAGAGATGTATGATAGGAATACATGGTGGGTAGACTGATCTAAATGTTCATATATTTTCTATAGTTCTGATTAGTTTCTGTATATTGTTTTCTCCCAAACAAAATTAAATAAACACACATACTCACCTGACTAGAGTACTATAGGACTTAAAAAAAATAAAAGGATATTTATAAAATGGTTTGGGAATACTAGAAATTGGAAATTCGGCTATGAGATAAAACTCTTAGATATAGGGCATGAGGGAAAATGAGAGAACAGAGTTCTGTCTCTTCTATGTAGGACTTGGATTTCATTCCGCTACTTCTGATTGGTGGGAAAGCATTCTAGGATGCCTTCTGGTTTGTTCTCTATCAAACTACTGGCGGGAGGGCTAAGGGAGGAAATGGAGGTGAAAGCTGAGAGGAAATTAAATTGATGCACAGAAAAGTTTCAGAAAAAAAAGTACATATACTAGTTTTTGTTTGCTTGTTTGACTTTTTTTTGGGGGGGGGAGGGGTACAGTACTATTCCTGCTTCTCTTTCTTTACACTGCCTAAAATCCTGCCTAAGTACAAATACAGCAGAAAATGTACTGATTATGAGATGATAATTCCTAGATATTTCTGGTGATACATTTTATCTCCAAAAATTAGCATAACCTGTGCAGAATTGAACAGTCCTCCCTTTAAAAGAAAAATAAGCCTAACATAGCACCCCAGAGTCACTAATGATCAGCTATCTTATCTGGACTTTTGAGATTAAAAAGGAAGTCTACATGAAGCCTAATTTGGTGAGTTAGAAAATTTAGCTACTACTCAACTTAAATAGTGTAACAATTCTGAATAGAATAAAATAATATAACAAATATTTGATTAAATATCTACAAAAATTTGACACTTCAGAAAAGAATATATGCAATGGCCAAAAAAAACATGAAAAGGTATCATTAGCTGTCAAGTCAATGTCAAATAAAACCATAATGAGATACCACCATGCACATATTAGAATGACTGAGATGAAAAAGACTGACAATGCCAGTGTTGGTGAGGATGCACAACAATTGAAATTCTCTTACATTATTGGTGGGGATGTAAAATGGTATAAGCACTTTCACAAACAGTGTTGGGGTCCAACCCCAGCAGGTCCAGGGGTTCCCAAAGGTGTGGACAGAGTCAGCGAAGAAGGAATGACACAGAGACAGCGTTCAGTTGATCAGCAGCCTAGCCAGGTTCTCTAGCCAGGATCTCCAGCCAAGTTCTGTGTTTATTGTCTTGTTATATCTGTATTTATACCAGTTGGTCTTAATCCCATCCATTCTACTCCAAAGGTTAGGGCGTTTCTTATCTCCATTCCAAGGTTACTCTATTGTTCTATTAAGCTACGAGGAAGTAACTGAAGGAGATTATCCTAAGTAAAGATTATGTAGCTTAACTGTGATTGTTCTTCCCTGCAGCGACTGTGTCAAGCAGCAAGGGTGGATCGGCTTCCGGCAAAACAGTTTGGCAGTTTCTGAAGAAGTTAAACAGATACCTACCATAGGGGTTGGTTATTCTACTCCTAGATATTTACCCCAAAGAAAAGGAAATATATGTCTATACAAAGACCTATATATAACATGTATATTTAAAGCAGCTTTATTTGTAATAGCCCCAGAAAGGAAAACAACCAAATGTTGATCAACAGGCAAATGGATAAATCAAATAAATATTGGTACTTATAATAATAAAAGCATAATATGCTAATTAGACCAGACAGCAGAATGACCTTCTGGACGAAGCTGCGGCGGCGGGGCCTGAGGCAGAGGTGGTTAGGAGCGAACAGGCAGGCAGGCAGAGTGGTTAGAGGAGACCAGGCAGGCAGGCAGAGTGGTTAGGGGCGATCAGGCAGGCAGGTGAGCAGTTAGGGGCGATCAGGCAGGCAGGTAGAGTGGTTAGGGGCAATCAGGCAGGCAGGTGAGCAGTTAGGGGCGATCAGGCAGGCAGGCAGAGTGGTTAGGGACAATTAGGCAGGCAGGCAGAGTGGTTAGGGGCAATCAGGCAGGCAGGCAGGTGAGTGGTTAGGAGCCAGCGGTCCCGGATTGTGAGAGGGTACAGGCCAGGCTAAGAGATCCCCCCTCCATGCACAATTTCGTGCACCGGGCCTCTAGTATTCATATAATGAATATTTATCAGTGGTAAAAAGAAAGAAACTATTGATACACTCAACAACATGGAAGAATCTCAAAATAATTATGCTGAGTGAAAGAAGTCTAACAAAAGAGTACTTAGATGATACCATTTACATGTAACTTTAGAAAAGGCAAATTAACCTGTAGTAACAGTGACTGTTGTTTTTTTTAACAGTAAAGAAATGCTAATTAGCATCTCTTTTTGAGATGAAGCATGAAGAGGTGGGAGGGAATGATTATAAAGGGTATTTTTTTTTTGGTATGGATATGTTTACCACCTTGATTGTGTTGGTAATTTTATGGGTATATACATCTGTCAAAAACCATCAAATTGTGTAACTTTAAATGTGTACAGCTTATTGTATATCAACTATACTTTAATAAAACTGTATTTAAAAAGCCACTAATAAGATTGAAGAGGTGTTGATAATTATTGAAACTGAATTATGGGTGCATGAGTGCTCATACTACTTTTCTCTACTTTCTGTTTCGAAAATTTTAATAATAAAAAGATTTTATACACAATACAATGTACAGATGATGAGTTATAGAATTGTACACCTGAAACCTATCATTTCATTGACCAGTGTCACTCCAATAAATCAATAAAAAAGAAAAAAGAAGAGGAAAAAAAGATTTTACTTCACACTCACTAGAATGATTAATCAAAATGATAAATCATCTAAATGACAAATGATATTAAGTGTATGGATGGAAACTTCATTCAACGTTGGTGGGGATGTAAAATGTTGTAGCTGCTCTGGAAAACAGTTTAGGATATCTCAAAATGTTAAACATACAGTTACCATATGATCCAGCAATTTCACTCTTAGGTATATACCCAAGAGAACTGAAAACCTATACCCACACAAACACTTGTACACAAATGTTCAGCATTATTCATAACAGCTAAAAAGTAGAAACAACTCAATGTCCAGTAACTGATGAATGAATAAAATGTGGACATTCATACAATGGAATATTATTTAGCAATAAAAAAGAATGAAGTACTGATATATGGTACAACATGTATGAACCCTGAAGACATGCTAATCAGTGATTCCCAAAGTGAGCGCTACCGCCCCCCGGTGGGCGCTGCAGCGATCCAGGGAGGCGGTGATGGCCACAGGTGCATTTGGGGGCGATGAGTAACTGCTATTAAAATTTAAAAACAATTACTTTCCAGGGGCTGAGTAATATTTTTTTGAAAAGGGGGCGGTAGGCCAAATAAGTTTGGGAACCATTGTGCTAAATAAAAGAAAGGAGTCATGAAAAACCATAGATGGTGCAGAGATCAATAAAGAGGTAAATGGAACCTTACCCTTATCAGGCTGAGAACTTGGTGGAGAAATCTGATCATATTCATCCATTAATTGCCTTCAGTTTTCTAGCATAAACTTCCCCCAAACAGTGAGACTGTGCAACAACTGGGGAGCTAGAAAACATGATACAAAGATTAGAAAAATAATTTTTGTCCATAACTTCACTCCTAGTCACCTGGAAACAACCAAAATATTGTTTTAAAGATTAAAGCATTCAAAGTTTAGAATTATATCATCAATAAAGATCACCTGAAAATTCACAAACTCCATCTTCAATTGCTTATTTTGCTTCCTGTAAATCTGAAAGTAAAGCTCTTTTTGAGCGTATATTTTACCCTGGAAAAATTAATATTTAGTTTATTTTAGAACAAAGTTGACCCCAAATTTACACCTCATAATTTTTAATATATTTAGTCTGAACTAAGAGTTTAAAAATAGTTTTGCTTGTTTTCAAATCAAAGTATCAGCTTCAGTAGAAATAATCCTATGATTTAGAAGCCCTTTATTTTCAACCTACTACATAATGTGAAATCCTTTGTGATTCAAACTATATTACTACTCCAGATATGCCTTTTACAAAAGGTATCTGTAAAAAGTTGTCTTTGTTCAGTCAAGTGGTATTTATGGCTAAAATTAAGGAAGGTAAGATAGATCATAATAAAATTTAAGGTAGTACTTTTTTTGAAGATGGTATAACAAAGGTGGAAATTTATTGAAGAACAAGTGCAGACTCCCACGTGGGGAAGGGGAAAGAATCTCACAGCACAGACTCCCATGTGGGGAAGGGGAAAGAGTCCCTAAGATAGTACTTTTAATTTTCAACTAGATATCCTTTCAGATACCATCTCAAATCTTAATTTCCTGAGTGCTTGGAAGACCATACTATTAGCTTTTTGCTCATTAGAACTTTGGTATAAAAACATTTAGTAAGGAGAAACCAAGATGGCCGCATAGGTAAACACCGGAAATTGCTGCCTTGCACAACCACTTAAAAATACAACTAAAAGACAAAACGCACATCATCCAGAACCACAGGAAGGCTGGCTGAGTGGAAATTCTACAACTAGAAGGAAAGAGAAAAGCACTGAGACTCAGAGGAGCTGCGGAAGTAAAGTGCAGAGGTATGCAGGCACACGTCGAAAGGGCTGGTGACTGAGGACGCGGCACATGTGGAGAGGGCTGGCGGCTGAGGACACGATTGTCTTTTTCAATAGGGAGGGAGTCTCAGGCTCTGAACTCCAGTTCCGGGTGAGTCTCTAGGGACCCAGACTAATACAGGGAGAAACTGGACTGTCTGGCATCGGTCAGAACTCGAGGGCGGCTTTCTCTTAGAGGTGCTTGCAGCGATTATTGGGACACTGAGACGTGGGGCCTCTTAGGGTAGGACTGGGGAGCAGCCATTGCTGCTTGCTCCTCCCTGTTGATCCCCAGAGACCCCGCCCCACCCAAGCTGTGCACAGAGGCTTTTGCATATGAAAGGCCTGGCCCTTTGCAACCTGAAAATTATCTAACAAACTGCAGCTGAATCAGAGAGACCCAGAACTTCCAAAAGAAGGCCCAAGGCCCCACAGCAGCTTGCATTGCTTCACAGCTGGGCCTCATCTGGGCACCTCCAAATCCCAAACAAAGAAGAGGAATCTCTCCATAGCTCCTGCTAGGTAGCCTCAGGCAGAGGCTAAATTAGCACCTCCTTAGAGATCCAAGAGCCAGTGTACCCAGTGGTCAGAGTGGGACCATCCAGATTACAACTCCTCAGATTCATAAAGGACACACTCAGGGGGCAGACTCAGTGAACACCAAAGCTCCACTGAAGCAAGTCTTGCCCCAGAAGGGTGTCTCCAGCTCAGAAGTTCTCCCACTGCAGACACAGCTGATTCTCACAGCCAATTGGCCTGGAGGTCAATTCCTCCCAGTGATACCAACAACAATCAAGACTTAACTACAACAAGACTGTGCACAAAGCCCACAAAGGGGTGCACCCAGAGTGTCCACCTCAGGTAATTGGGGAGGCTGAGTCACTGGGCCCTATAGGACACCTAGCACAGAAAGCCACTCTATCAACACAGGGAAGCATAAAAAATGCGAGACAAAGAAACAAGTCACAAATGACAGAAATGGAGGAAAGCAAACTACTGGATATAGAGTTCAAAACCACACTTTTAAGGTTTTTCAAGAATTTTCTAGAAACCGCCGATAAATTTAGTGAGACCCTCAAGAAATCTAGTGAGACCCTCGAGGTTATGAAAAAGGACCAACTAGAAATTAAGCATACACTGATTGAAATAAAGGATATTATGCAGAGTTCCAACAGCAGACTAGAGGATTGCAAGAATTAAGTCAAAGATTTGAAATACGAAGAAGCAAAAATCACCCAACCGGAAAAACAAAAAGAAAAAAGAATCCAAAAATATGAACATAGTGTAAGGAGCCTCTGGGACAGCTTCAAGCATACCAACATACGAATTATGGGGGTGCCAGAAGAAGAGAGAGAGCAAGATATTGAAAACCTATTTGAATAAATAATGACAGAAAACTTCCCCTACCTGGTGAAAGAAATAGACTTACAAGTCCTGGAAGCACAGAGAACCCCAAACAAAAGGAATCCAAAGAGGACTACACCAAGACACTTCATAATTAAAATGCCAAGAGCAAAAGACAAAGAGAGAATCTTAAAAGCAGCAAGAGAAAAACAATAGTTACCTACAAGGGAGTACCCATAGGGCTGTCAGCTTATTTCTCAACAGAAACTATGCAGGGCAGAAGGGAGTGGCAAGAAATATTCAAAGTGATGAATAGCAAGAACCTACAACCAAGATTACTTTATCCAGCAAAGCTATCATTCAGAATTGAAGGTCAGATAAAGAGCTTCACAGATAAGAGAAAGCTAAAGGAGTTCATCACCACCAAACCAGCATTATATGAAATGCTGAAAGGTGTTCTTTAAGAAGAGGAAGAAGAAAAAAGGTAAAGATAAAAATTATGAACAACAAATACACATCTATCAACAAGTGAATCTAAAAATCAAGTGAATAAATAATCTGATGAACAGAATAAACCAGTGAATATAATAGAATCAGGGGCATAGAAAGGGAGTGGACTAACTATTCTCGGGGGAGAAAGGGGTGTGGGAAGAGACTGGACAAAAATTGTACATCTATGGATGAGAACAGTGGGTAGCGGGGGTAAGGGCAGAGGGTGGGGTGGGTACCGGGTGGAGGGGAGCTATGGGGGGAAAAAAGAGGAACAACTGTAATAATCTGAACAATAAAGATTTAATTAAAAAAATAAATAAACAACAACAAAAAACATTTAGTAAGCCTATGATAATAAATATAATACTAGAGGCCTGGTGCATGAAATTCGTGCATGGGCAGGGTCCCTAGGCCTGGCCTGAGATCAGGGCCTTCCTTCCGGCTTTCAGCTGGGGCCTTCCTTCCCTGGCTGCCGGCTGGGGCCTTCCTTCATTCCGTGCCACCCCCAGGTGGTCAGAGCATGTCATAGTGAATATCGAACTCCCGAGGGGACACTTTGCATATTAGCCTTTATATATATTTACTTAGTTCAGAAAAAACTATTCTGAAGGAGAAGTTATTGGGTCACCAGTAGGAATCTGGACTTTATGGAAATTATTTGGGGTACTAGTTTTGAGAGACTGGTCTAAGAAATCCGGCCTTGAATTTTGTTTTCTTATAGAAGACCATCTCAAGAAATACAGTCTATTTTAAGATAGTCACTAATTAGAGTTATACCACTAATGTCATCTGAGAATCCCATGAAGGAACCACAAACCATCATTACCCATGGTAGGCAACTGTCCTCCACATTTGGCACAAACATGACCATAAGCAAGGCTCACTAAATAAGGATTAGACAAGCACTCATAGCTACAGTCATATTCACATATTAACTTCTAGAATATTTTCTAAAAGTGTTTATCACCACAGTAAATAATCTATGTCAAAATTACTACCTATTACACTTGAGGTCTATACTACTACCTAGAGTTCCTAATGGTTGAAATTTATTTATGGAACTTTACTAGTTTATAAATACAATGCAAATCATGGAACACCAAAATACTTCCCATATGACCATTTAAATAAATGTGTTGGAACCACATAGAGAAATGCCCGATATATTAACTGTGTATAGATGTAGAACTACATCTACCTACATACCTACCTATTGATCTAAAATTCAATTTTAATATAAAAATTCAACATATAGAACAAAAATTTAAATATATACACATGTATTGACTGTGCGGAGGAGTTAGAGCTGGACTGTAATCCAGTCACTCCCTTTCCTGGGAGGAGGAAGAGGGAAGAAGGCAGGTGATCTCTGGACCTCAGGTAAAGAGTCAAATGATACCTGCTGGGAGGAGGGTACCTTTATCTGAAATGCTCTCAGCAAGATGTCCCTCGCTAAAGATGATCTATAATAGATAAATCCAGGATCGCTGAGGCATAACTTCCTGAAGACTGTCATATAAGCTAAAATGCAGATTCATAAATTTAACATTTCCACTGTGTAAGGTGACTCTCACTTAGACACCTCATCTATTATTCTGGGTCAGAGATGCATGATCAATGTGGGAAAATAATGGCCATGTGTTAGACATTGCTGTTTTATTAAAGCCTCTTGATTGCCTGTACCCTTGAATTAGTAAACCTTGATATTAGGTAATATTACAGATTCATTTGAGTCTGATTTGATGGTCTCATCTTGTGTGTTAGCTCAACACCCATAGGAAAAATCCAAAAAGATATACACTAAACTTAATGGAGTTTGGGAAATAGGGTTAGAAAAAGAGTATGGGAGAACACTCAACGTTTTGCTCTCTGCACATGTCTGTATTGTTTAAAATTTGTTTTAATCCCACCTAAGGATATGTTTATTGATTTTTTTTTTTTTGAGAGGGGAAGGAAAGGAGAGAGAAGGAGAGATTTGTTGCCTCCTGTACCCACCCAAAGCAGGGACTGAACCCACAACCGAAGAATGTGACCTGACTGGGAATTGAATCCACAACCTTTCAGTGTACTGGATGATGCTCCAACCAACTGAGCCACACTGGCCAGGGTTGTTTAAATTTTTGCAAAGAACATATATTACTTTGTAATTAAAAATGCTATAATAATTTTATTTAAAGGTTCTACACGAAATCTTCAAACTAAGCCTACTTTTCAATACCAGTGTATAGATTAAAAGATTTGCTTAAAAATATTATGTTCAAGAATTATAAATCAGAAAAATATCATAAAGGATTTAATGAATATTTAAAAATATTTCTCTATAATATATAGTATCCCTTTAAATTATTTTTTAGTTGTTTAAAAGTATATAATGTAAATTATATTTGACTCTTAAGTCAGGCAAGGTAAAAAGTTTAACTAAAAGGACTT